TGTGTGTGTGTGTGTGTGTGTGTGTAAGTGTGTAAGTGTGTATGCGTGTGTTTGTGTGTGTGTACGTGTGTTTATTGTGTGTGTCTGTGTGTGTGTATGTTGAAGGAATGGAGAGTTATCGTTCTTAATTTTTGAAAATGTGTCTGTGCATGATTAATTGTCTGCATGATGTGTGTATGTGTGTGAGTATGTGTGTGTGTGTGTGTGTGTGTGTGTGTGTGTGTGTGTGCGTGTGTGAGTGAGTGTGTGAGTACGTGAGTGTGTGTGCGTGTGTGCGTGTATGTCTGTATTCGTGTGTGTGTTTGTATGTGTGTATGTGTACATCATTTTATTTGACTGTATGCATTTGTCTGTGTATGTTGAGAAAAAAGAGGGGAGGGAATAAAAGCTGTTTGTCGGTGTTTGAGAGATGTGGTGGAGGGGTGGTCTTAGACACAATGGGCACTTGTCTTTTCTTGCTACATTTGTATTGAAAATATTGGCTTGTTTCATAATATAGCATCTATCTAAAGACCGATTCCTACAAATATACGTGGTTTTTAAAAAAGTCTAAACTCTATTCTGTTGGCTTTCCTCGCTTGTTTTTATTGGGGGGGTTTTCTAAACCGACACCTTAAAATCAGGTCTGTCTTGTTTAGTTAAGCAGTGAAACGTCACTGTCAGTACTGCTCTCTATAATAATTGTACTTTCTGCACATTGATAAAAAAAAGTTTGCCTGATTATTATCAATTTACAAAAATAGCAACGTCTTCTTTAACACGTTAAGGGAACCCTTTCACAAAATCTAGGACAGCAGTGTAATCTGGGAGTACGATCAAAGGACAAAGTTTATTTAATGCTTCCTAGCAAGAAAAAGTGCTGGTATCTCTCTATCTGCGGTAGAAAATTGATCACCTTGCTCTAGCCGAAGCCCAGAACCACTGTGATGACAAGGTTATCGGAAATGAATCATATGATAAGAACGCGCAAAGATGATTAGATACACACTTCCTCCTGTTCATTAGGGCAAACACAATTATAATAATCACTTCCTTCAATCTTTACATTAAAAAAGCCCTCTCAAGTAAAACGAATCCACGTGTTTGGGAATCTGATATTACAATCGTTTTATTTTGACAATCAAGAAGAACTAATAATTACAAGTATTTCTTTAATTTGAAGAATGTTTGCTTTAACTGTGTTTTGTATTACTTTACTTTCTCCTTGCAGAAAGTAGTTCTGTGGCTTGAATGATTGATACATTACATATTATGCACACTGCACCCTGTAAGAGATCTTTGTTAAAGAATTCTACAAGTAATAATTCATGACGACTGGGTCCCGAGACTACCTAGGAAATCTGTAACGATTTATTGCCATGCTATTGTCAGCTCTTTACTGCTTTTATCATTTGGGATTAGTCCTGATCTTTAATTCTCAGAGACTCCAAGATCTTTCACGATGTTCGCAGTCGATCTGAAAAAAAAGAGAACGAAGAAGAATCCCAAGAGAAAGTGTATTAAGTTGTCTGCCTTTTTTCATCACAAGCAAGAATGTATAATAAAATATTACGAACTGAACGATGAAGAAATTCTTTCAACTTAGAACAACCATCAAAGGAAGGGCGTCTATTTAGGGCAGTTTACTGTATTGCGCAGCTTTGTCTCCCTGCTAGAATGTGGCATATCACTTCCTGCAGAGACTTGTTCCACACTGCTCAATTCTATCAAATGAAGCTTGTGTGTTAAGTAGCTCTAACAAAATGTCATTAATGTATGGGTGGTTGGCGGGTCTTCTGGTGTGGTTTGCTATTTCTTTCCATCAAACATCGATCGTCCATATCTCTCCTCCTACATTTTTGTGTTAGCTATTCTTTTAAAGTAACATCTCTAATCTTTGGCACTTTAATAGACGTATCGTAATTTTGCTGAAACAAAATGACAATAACAAAAGAAGAAATAAAATAAAAATTGTTATTGAAAACAAACAAGGAAAGGCTGAGTCGACC